AGGTCACAGGGTCAGTAGTGCCTCAGATGCTTCAAAAATCCTTCTCCACCCCCTGATCAGTTCAATGTTCTTGCCAATTTTCTCACAGTTTTGCACAGCAGTCTTTAACCTTCTGGAACTTACTTTGGGGCACGGAGTGTAGGACCGGGGCCCCCTTCACCCTGTGCCCAGGAGGCCCAGCTCTGCCCCGGGCTCTGCCTGGCTCCCACTGGATGGATCAGCTCCATTTGAGGACCAGCCATGGCCACCGCTGGGAATCGGGTCCCGGCGGGAGGAGCAGGGAGAGCAGATGGGTCCCCTCTGGGGACAGTCGGTGACCCCGCAGGGACAGATAAACACCTGGCAGGTTGGCTCTTTGGAATCCCCGGTCCCGTGTGGATTTTTGGTTTCTGGGGCTGTGCTTGTCATCCTCGGTGCCGTGGCCTCGCCTCCCTCACCGGGGTGGCCCCCCACGTTCCTATAGCCCAGTGTCGTCAGCACAGGCCCTGGCCCCTGGAGCTACCACAGGGAAGGCCAGCGTGGGAATGGGAATCGCCGGGGCCAAGGCCAGCTCTGTCTTGCTGGGGCTGGAGAGGGAGGCACAGGCTCCCTCGATACAGTCCTACCACATTCCCGGGCTGCTCTAAGTGGGACCAGGCAGAGGTGTCAGGGGACCCAACAGAGCCCCCATTGGCAGACCAGCTACTGTCTTCCCACCCTGCCCACCCTGGTGGCTTCCCAAGTGCTCCTGCCAAGGGCCCCACCCCATGCCCAGCCAAACCCAAGCCCCACAAATGTTGGCTCTGCCTGCCCTGATGGGCCTCCAGGACAATCTGCTTCCCTACAAGCCTGTCAAATGCCATGCCCCTTGGGGTGTAGACCATGGTGACCCCAAGATCTCCCTAACTTCCCCTGTGGCTCCATCTCCACCCTGACTCCCAACAGGCCTCCAGGGAGCCAACACCAAGGCCCCCTTTACAGACAGGCCGAGCCCAGGGCTGCTGCTGAAGCTCTTTATTTGGAGTCAGGTGGGGGGAGCGGGGGTGCTGCTGTGGCAGAGGCTGGTCCAGGTGGGGGTGGGGCTCTGTGTCCGGCAGCAGGGCGGGCTCCGGAGGTGCAGCCATGGTGGCTGCTGTGATAGGAAGAGGAACAGAGGTCAGTGAGGTCACAGTGGGAGTGGTGGGCAGGGGCAGGGGCTGCCACAGGAGCCACATTCAGTCACTGCCTGGCCAGGAGGCTTGAGAGCCATCCCGGCCCCTCTAACGAGCAGGCCGGCCCTGGGCATCCTCGGTGGGTGTGCGGGCTGGGGGAGTGGACCGAGTGGAGACCAGGTGTTGAGCTGACATGGGAGGGAGCCCACCACGAGGCCTGGGCTGTGAAAGATCCCAGAGGACCTCCCTGGCCAGCAGGGTGCAGGGCACAGTTAAAGGAAGGGACTCCCATGTGTCCAAGGAATCACACTCAGGTCAGACCCCTGAGATGACAGCCTTTGCCTGG